AAAGAAATTACTGAAGACGTGTTTTTTTTTTATTTGTGTGCGGTCGGTTGTAGGTTTTCGATGACGCTAATGACGAAACAAAAGATGGTCCGGCCTCTTTCGATATATCAACAAGAGAATTTTTTGTTTTTTAATTCGGAGAAATCGTGCTTTGATGATGTTTCAATAAAGTAAAACATACTAATAGGAGTTTCATTCAGTTGATAGATAATGAACTTATTCGAATATGAAATATAAAATTTCTTCTCCGATTTTTTATAGTTTTTGAATTATACATATTTTATTATTATTTCTCCATGTTCGTGGAAATACACAACTCTATATTCAGTGTTGAAACTGGCCTCTTTTTGTACTAGTGCGATAAAATGTTTATTTTTGCCTGGTTTGGTGATCCAAAATATTTTCAAATGCGGTTTTTTGTATTGGTTGGGAAAGGGATCAAAAATGTTCGTAGATAAACAATTTAGTTTCATGCCAACGTTTCGGACTTTATTAAATCCATCATCAGGGCTCTATAATAAAATAATTTAATGTATTTAATGTATTGTAATGCAAAATTTATAAAGTTTAAACAATCTAATATTATTTAAAAGAGAAACAAACAAGTGCACTTACCAAACATTAGTTATCCATGTCAAAAAAAAGGTTAAAATATATGTGTCAGACAACGTAGGTACAAACGAAAATGAGGACTAACCAAATGAAAACACATATAACACAGACACATTAGAAATGAAAACGATATCATGGGAGACAAACTGATTAGAAATGGACGTTTCTGTTTGCCTTTTAAAAAAAATTATAAACAATAGAAGGATATCAGATTACACAGGATGGTGGAAACTTATGAGTATTGAAATATTAAGGAATACGATTTAGTAAATTAAAATAAGCACTATTCAGTCCTTCTATGTCCTTTCTAGTGTTGACTTTTTTTTGTTTGAAAATGTGGATCATCTCACTAAACAGTCGTTTACCTTATAACGGTTGAATATCTAAAATCTTGGGGTTTTGCAAAGTCAATACTGTTGTATTCTCTTGTGTGTTCAATGAGGGCTGTTAGATTGGCAACATTCAACTTCCTTGTATCTCTTTCATGCTCAGACAACCTGTTTTTTAAGTAACGTCCCGTTTGCCCTACATAACATTCTGGACAATCCTCACAGTTAATTTCATAAACGACGTTTGATTGCATATTCATCGGAGATTTTGTTTTTTGTTTCGAAAAAAATCTTTTACCTACAGTGTAAACATTTGCAAACGCAGTTTTGATGTGTTCATTATTTAGAACTCATCCAAGTTTTTCAGAAAGGTTATGTACATAAGGAATTTTGAAATATTTTGAATTGTTAATTTCCAGTGTAGGTTGCCTATTTTCATTTATAATTTTTTTCACCAATGAAGGAAGGTAATTATTTTTAATAAGTAAATCTTCTATAATTCTGATATTTTTGTTATGAAACTCAGCATCAGAAATTGTGAGTGCTCTTGATTTTAAGTTCCTAATGATATTAATGATATTAAAATTGTGTTGTGAAAAATAATTAATAAACCTTTCTGAAAAAGTAGTTTTGTGGTACCAGTCGACTTTTAAAATCTGGTTAGGTGTTCTCGATATCTTAGTATCTAAGAAGACTAGAGAATTGTCTTTTTCCAATTCTGCTGTTTATTGCTGTTTATTGGCCTCATTTATCATTTCACTAGTGCGCTTTGGGATCATGACGAACATAATGATTCAAATTAACTATTTAGTAAATTTTCTGTAACATTGTATTACTTTTCAAACGAATACCTACGTGTCATAAATTGGAATTACTTTATCCGCTAAGATATACCATAATTCCAAAATAGTAGGCACTAAATTCTCAGAAATGACTGAAGTTTTGGCCTAAAGCGCCAACTCAAAGAGAGAGAGAGACTGACGTTTTTGCCTAAATTTCTCTTGCATCGGCGTGCGGAAATTATACTAAACAGATGAGGAAAAACGATAAGGAAAAACTATGATAAAATATATAGAATCACAACCTTCACAACAATGTTTTCGTTTTAGTGCAATAATATTTCTGAAAATTTAGTGGCTACTATTATGGAATTGTACTATAACTGAGATCAATTTGCAGACACTCATTTTGAAACTGGTAATTTCGAGTAGAGTTTTGCAGACATTTAGTGGCATACCTGTGTATGCCTAAACACCAGGGAAGCAGTGAAAAGCAGTTATATGCTACTATGCTCACCACATATTTAACTTAAGGAAAATTAAATGTAGAATTTTTTCTGAAAAGTTGGAAATGACTTCGTGTTCTCACTGTTCTCACGTGTAGATAATGTGATGGTTAAACTTTGATTTCATTTATGTTGCCTCAGTTACCTCTCGTCAAAGGAAAGCTATCTTCATTTGATTTTTTTTATTTTAAATGCAGATCATTTTGAAATCTTCATATATAAGTCAATCCATATTGAACTCCGAATAGCTAACTTTCACAGTCAATGATGTATAAGTAGTTAAAATTGAAAAGTGGCCTAAGTAACCCAATTATACTCGGTATTTTATATTATTTTCAGTTATATCTATCGTATACTGGACTAACAACGAAAAATCAATATTACAAACGGAGGTTACATGTAAACTCAAGTAATAATGAAAAGACGTGGGAAATAATAAATGAAATCCCGAATGCAACGGTAAAAAACATCAGCTCTATTAATATGTCAGCTTCAAATGATGAGGTTTTATCTAACAATAAGACGAAAGCCAACGCATTCAATGATTATTTTGTAAACGTCGGAAAAGAGATGGCTAAAACTATCAATAAGCCTGATAATCTTTCGGAAGACTTTTTTTTGAATGACAAACCTATAGGCCCTACGATACTTTCAGATCCAGTAAAGGAAATCGAAATATTCAACAATGTCTCCAACATAAAAAGTAATTATGCTCCAGAGCTTGACTAGATACCAGGAAAGCTAATAAAAATCATTTATCCGTACATTGTAAATACCTTAGTGAATATTATAAACAAAATATTCATAATGGGTAAATTTCAGTGCAATGGAAGGAATCAGTAGTAACTCCAGTTTATAAAGCAGGGAGTGAACACGAATTTCAGAATTACCGACCCATCTCTGTAATAAGTAATTTTGCAAAACATTTTTAACATACCTACCTTAAAAAGTCGATTGGTTGAATTTTTCGAATTCCATCATGTGATAACAAAAAAACAATTTGGTTTCATCAGTAACTCGAACACTTAAAAAGCTGTCATTCATTTTACGAAAACCGTAACCGACTCTTTGGAAAATTCCGATAAGTGCCTTGCATGTTTTCTATACTTAGTTAAAGCTTTCGGCACGGTAACACATGTCATTCGTGGCGCAGCGTTAAATATTTTGCAAAATTATTTATCGAACAGAAAACAAATCGTTAAAATTAGCAGTGAACTTAGTTCTTCAAATGAATTCACAATTGGTGTTCCACAAGGCACAGTATTGGGATCGATTTTATTTTTAGTTCACATAAATAGTATTGCCTGTATAAAATCGGTTGATAATCTTATTTCATATGCAGACGACACGGCGATCAATTTTTCTGGTAGCAAATGGTTTGAAGGATATCCCGATATGGCTGAACTACAATCTCCTGAATAAAACCAAACTCGTTTGTTTCACGCGTGTGTAATTTGTGTATGTATATAAGTTTATATGAACGAACCCCATCGTTGTAATATGATTGTGAATAAGGACATGGATTCTTGCCACATCAACCGCTCCAAAGACTGAAATGTGAGATTAGAGAGAAAAAAATGAAACGAATAAAAAATTAGAGAAGTCAAAACAAAGAAAAAAAAATAGAATTAAATTAAAAAAAAACAATCCCAAAGAAAAAAGAATTATGATTGATTGAATTTTATCATAACCTACAAGAGTTCCACTAGATAGTAAATGTATAATATATTTAATATAGTATATGTATAATATGATTCATTTTAATTACCTAATGAACATCCTGAATCACTCCAAGGGGATGCACAAAACAAGCGTCTCGAGTGCTTAGGAGAACCCTTGGGATAATAGTGTTTGTTTATCTAAGTATCTTGTTATATCAAATTGAAAATCAAATTGAAAAATTGAACATATACCTGTTCAAATTATCAATACAGAAGTCAATACTTCAAATATTCACACGCACGACTACTATGAATTGGATAATAAAACTGTAGCTCTAAAAATGTTGGAGAAAAATTATTTGTTGGTGGTGAAGGAGGATAATGTGTTGGGACCCATCAGAAGTCATTGAAATAGCGAATGCAGCTTCATTAAACTCACCTACAGTTAGGTCAACAAAAGAATACACAGGCACATGTAATTTATGCATCGAAACGATGGGGCTTCTGCTCCGAACACCCCCATTTTTTAATGAAAAATTTATTCTATTTGCTAGAGTAGGTGATGTCGAGATGCTGACGAGCAAGAACACTAAAGAGCTGGAGACCCTTAGTGCATAAACCACATGTTGTCTCTGACACGTAGCGGTACTTTTTCTAACAAAAAAGGTAAATGATCTCGCAAAAAGTCAGTGTAGGATTAACCTGTTGATCTTGCTGGTAGAAAAAATGGGCCAATTTGGTAGTCACCATTGCTGGAAATTATTTTCTCTAATAACGTGTGGATTTTTGTCGGCCCAAAAATAGTCATTGTGAAAGTTCATGATAGCATCTCGTGAAAAAATTTGCTTCGTCCATAAATAAAATATTTGGTAAAAAATCAGTATTGTGTGCCATCGTATGAAGTCAAGCTAGATATGAAGAAAACACAAGCTAAAAAGAATTAGTATTTTTAGTTGAATTATCTGAGAAACTACAACCACCTGCAAAATATTATCCAACATGGCTGAAAGTGAATATATGACGGACGACTCTCATAGTTATAAATGTTGAAAAAAGCCTCTCAAATATTATGTGTGCACTAAATGCTTCAGTGTTTTTCACCAAAGTTGTATCATGCGAAAGAAAAAAACGATTACCTTTATTAGTGAGAACAAAGTGATCTGCTGTGGATCTGAAAATGAAGAAAACACAAACCAACCTGACAGCGTTCTCGAACAAACTATAAGAGATCTGGTGGAAGAGAATCACTGGAAATGCAATTATATTTCCAAACTGAAAGAAGAAAATAGTGTGTTGGAAAGTGAAGCCCTTGAAATGGAATCAAAACTCAATGAACAGGTAGAAGTCCAACGACAACAGATTGAAAAACTGGAACAACAAATCACCTCGCACATACAAAAACTGGCTGATAAATATCTTGAAACAAAAACGATAGAAACTCAAACTGATGAAAAACATTTGACCAAGGAATTCCTATCAGACATAGAACAGAAAAGAAAAGAGAATACCCTAGCAAAAAAGGAAAATTTGACTTCAAATTCCAATGAGTCACCAAGCAAACATATACAGGGGGATGGACAACGGAAACCGATAAATTTACACATTGACAAAATTCTAGAACAAGAAGAAAATACAATAGAAGTGACTGAGATTCCAATCCCAACAATTATACAGAGTATTGACCAAGGTACCCAAACTAGAAATGACAGTATTTACAAAGTGGAAGACGTAAGATGTAAAAGAAAGAGGAGGAAGAAAAGGCAGTCCATGAAAATTAATTCCTTTGAAGTTGAAATATTAAATGAGGACAATATTCAACTCAATGAAGAAAATACTGGAAAGTTGGCCCCTCAATCACCAGAAACTGAATCAAAGGAAACCAGGTCAAAGTCTATTGGAAACCAGACCTCACAAAATACCCTATTAGACGATGAAGTGGTGGTGAATCTAATAACCGATGAAATAGGATCGAACGTTAGTGATGACAGGTCACAGACAGATTCATTAAAAAGAATAGTGATCTTGGGAGATGACTATTCAAAAAACTTTTCCATGGCCCTGGAAAGTCGTATGGGAGAACGCAAGTACTCAATGTATGAAATATTGAAACCAAATACAGAGCTATCTGAATTAACAAGTAACTTGTTCCAAGACACTATTAACTTAGGGCAGGATGATTATGTTATCGTCATGTGCAATACCAACAATATAAGCAATAGTCGTAGTCTAAATCTAGCGCTGAAACAAATTTTACCAATAAGCAAATTCACAAACCTCCTTTTAATTATTGAAAGAAATAATATTATTGACCAAAAGTTGCTCAATTCTATCAATAAAAGGATCAATGAGTTTAGGAAACATAATCATAACTTCTCTCTCACATACATAAGCGACGTCAGGGAAAAAGGAAGTAAATTCGATGTACTTACAAGGGTACACAGCTTCCTTACTGAATCTAATAAATGTCTTGTTGTAAAGACAGTGAAAATACAAGAAATCGACAAGGCTGAGATTCCAAGTAGATACCTCCACGAATCTTTTTTATTGGAAATGCCGCTAAGCCAAGAAAAAGAGTAGTAAATTTGAATCTTCCAGAATGTATATATAATAGTAAATTAACCCTGCTTCTCATTAACATACAGTCAATTCGAAACAAAATTGATGACTTATATATTTATTTAGAAAATCTTGATTTTCCAAAATTAGTATTAGTTACAGAACACTGGCTGAAACCACAGGAACCAATAATTGTACCAGGTTATAAATGCATCTCTAGATTTGACCGAGTTACGGCTGAACATGGAGGAACCCTGATACTAGAGAATGTAAATGAAGATACATGCTCCTTTGTTAAGGTAGAAAAATTCAGTAATTTGTTGGAGGAGAAAAATTTTGAGTTCTCCTTGGTGTACTGTGAAGCGTTTCCCCTGTATGTTCTGTGTATCTATAGAACGCGAGATAACAATAAAACCCCTTCCGAAGAAATGACCATATTTTTCGAAAAGCTCGAAATACTGCTGACACATCTTCCAATGAATTCGAATATTGTCCTAGCAGGCGATTTGAATATAAATTTTGAAGACAAATCAAATCGTTCCTGTCAGCTTCTAGAACAGTTATTAGACTCCTTAAACTTAACCATGCACGTGCAATCCGCAACACATATTTGCCGGAGTACATCTACTATAATAGACTATTTCTGTTCTAATTTGGATGAGTCTAAGGTAACCTGTTCAGTTTTGTCAGCAAATCTCTCAGATCATGAAGCCGTTCTCAGTACACTCAGCTTCCCTGGTAAAGGCATTTCTAAAAAACATAATATACTTGGGCGTATATTTTCTAAAAACAACTATTGCAAATTTCAAAAGGCCTGTGATCAGGTCAACTGGAACAGAATCATACATATGAACACATATTTGAATACACTCAGTAATATTTTTGAAAGTGCTTTCCCTATCACCAGAATCCGAAAAAAGGTAAGGAAACCTTGGATAACGAAGGGCATCAAAATATCAGCCAAAAATATGCGCTCATTGAACTACATTAAAAAGTTTAATAAAGAGGAACACCTACAAAATTATTGCAATAGGTACCGAAGTGTATACAACAGTGTCATAAAACAGGCTAAGCTTTCATATTATCATACCAGGATTAATACTGCCTCCAATATAGCAAAGGAGAGCTGGATTATTATAAATGAAATCCGTGGAAAGAGCAAAAATCAAATTGATGAAATCAATTTGAAACCTGACTGTTTCAACGATTACTATTGCTCTATCGCAACTAAACTTACTAATGACATTTCCACTAACATTCATATTAATCCAATGCAATATCTTGAGAATGTAAGAATTGACGAAAACTTCTTTTTNTATAGAAACATGACTGTATATATACATTAAGTACATCCACTTTTAACATCCGACAATCCATATTGGTTTGCATAATTTTAATTTCATTTAATTATCATGACTTCCTGCTCATTTTAAGCAGTTAGGATTTATGTACTATTATATTTAGGAGTTTTGTCAATAAGAATTCTATTCTTCAGATAATAAAGCATGCTTTGATTTGATTTGATTTGATATTCTTGGCTGAAAATTCCGAGGCAGTAGAGCTTGCACCAGCTATATGTGATATAGGAGGTTTATTTTTAGAACTGTCCATACGGTTTTTAGGCTGACTTACAGCTGCATTGCAATCTTCCTGGTACTATTTGGAGGATCTTCTTTTATCGCATAGTTTCTTCTAGTTCAGGCGTTGTTGCAGTTTCTGGTTTTCCTCCATTTTTATCAAAACTCCGCTTCACATAATCTCGCATGTAGCGTTCTAAATGTTTTAGCCAGTACATGTCAGCGATTTCAGCGTTAGTAAAATTATTCAATTAACAATTAACAACTCTGAATTTCACTAATATGACAACACAATCACTGTCAGCATTTTGAGAGAATAAACGTATTTCACTAAAACCACTTCATTTCGATACTTGTAGAACAACTCCATCAAGGCGTTTTGTTGCCCCATTAGGGCTGCCGTAGAAGATATTACAGAAGAACTATATATTTCACTATGTATGGCTACAAGTTACCTGATAGCTGGTGTGTGCAATTAGTACACTGATGCCAGGGAAGGCATCTCCTCAAAATGCGTCAGAAGAGACCAAATTGCCAAGCCATACATTTGTATAGCTCACCCTCGAAAGAAGTCACAGATTGATCACGGATAAGGTCTTCAATAGATTGAGGAAAATTCACCATAGTCTGTCAACCTTGGAATAGATTATTTGTCACAAGGTAACAAAGCAAACACTCTGTACCTACATCGCCGCTGATGAATTTTCAGCGTTTGAGATATTCTCACTTTTGCGAGCTGATATAAAATATCACTCACCGAATGAAATAATCGGCTTCATCAAAACCCTGGATTTATTTGGTCGAGTTGGATGAGGTGAAACCATATGAAAATACCTCGTAATGTTTTATATTATGCAGTAATAATATCCATTTTATATCCAAGTCTCAACATCCCGTTTCTGTCAAATAAATGCGATTTAAGCTTGAATATTCATCTCTTAAAATTAATGATAATCCTGTAGGAACATCCTGTACATTCTTAAGTCTCATTTATAGAATTTACAAAGTCTAGTCAGTTCAAATTCTTTCGACCAATTTGACAGACGAATGACGCCCATGTTCGCATAATTTGTCCACTTAATAATGACTAACTTATCCTTTGCGCCATCAGCCAGGTGACATCGCACTTCTCGTCATGACTCACTTTCTGATTCATTGTTTCCTTCAAGAGACATTAAAACTGAACTAGACCAAACCTGTAAAAAGACAATAAAATATTCCATGTATTCGGGTCGAAATCCTCAGACATGTTGTTGTTTTCGAACGACTCTGGCCGCTGTTGTCCTGCTGGATCTTTTTATTAGAGCCAGGAGTATGGCTCCGGCACTCCGGAGCTCGTCTTCATCTCTGGCTCCGGTTAACCGGAGCCGCGGTCCACTCTTGTCGCGCCATCCAAGGCGCCATTTCAACCCTAGTAGCTCCCCTTGTTTATTTCACTCTCTACTGCTGTCGATGATATTAATATTGCACATGTACAAATAGATAACTTTATATAATTCATAATATTTTTGTTTGTCGACACTGTGGCGTCGGGTTTTTTCACGATCTCAAAATATGTCTTCGATAATTTCAGTGGATGAATGAATACTGAATGGAACGATGCATTTATAGTTCCGGCGGAATATAAAATTTTTACAGAGTGTTGAAATAATAACTGATGCATGCCAAATATGTAATTTCATTTTTGAATTCTATTTAAAATATGTTTATTCGTTAACCAGCTGTCGCACCCCTACGAACGACAACCCTCAGAAGTCGAAACTTGTGCGAGCTAGGGACTAACGAGGTCATACCTTTTAAGTGTGATTACTAACACGGGTTGGACGATAGCAAGTGAAAATCGATCGTTCAGCCTGGGGCTTGAACCAGCGACAAACACGGCGGTCAATTCGAGTGAGTGAACAAAGCACCCACGTCGAACCGCCCGGCTACTGAGTAAAACAATTATTTCATTTCAAGTTAAATAGCTTTCAATCTGTTACTTTAAGTGAAACGTAGTGAATAACTTGAAAAAAATAGCTTTATAGGTTTTATTATCTTCTTCCTTCTGTAGGTATATCTATAGTAAGCATGAATTTTGAACTTGCTGAATTTTTCATTGTATATTACTGTAGTTTAGTCCCAACCAAACCGTTATTTTCAACACCTCGACTCGTGTTTCAATCACCAAGTGATCTGAACTCCAGTAATATTCATTACTACACCAAAGGTTCCAAACAGTGCATCACAAGAATCAGTGCAATTGAAATTTGATGTCTCACAAAGTATGATTTTAAATTTGATAGGTAAATAATGTTGCAACCCATATATCACTAATTAAAATTAATCAGCTCTTTGCAGTAATTTAGGTATACCCGAAGAAAACACTTTATTGAATATCTCAATAGTTCCATCATTTATCGTTATATCAAAGTTTTAACTGTATCTAGCAGCCTACTTGGTCCAATGAGAACTGCTTTCGATTTTGTAGGATTTATAATCAAATAGTGATATGTGGCACTATTCACAAATGTATTGAATGGGCTCATTTTTTATTATTTCATTATTTGAAAGTTTATGTTTCAAATAGTACATCTGCAAAAAACCTGAAATTTCACTCTTTATCTTCCCCCTCACTTTAATAGTTGAATGTGGTCAAGCTTGACGTCACATCAGTCGACTCGGCGACAAGGGAGTGCTGGCGAGATGGCAGCGATTCATAATCTCCAACTACAGGTCCGGTTGCTACCGCTCGAAGCTCGTTGCCTGGACGTCAAAATGTATCGCGGGCGATCTCACATTTTCAATTGCTCTTGCTCAGTTGTTAATTGACATAAAAACCGGAAAATTTTGTAGGATACTTGGGAGATGATTTACTTTTATAATATATAATTTTCAATAAAATCTAAATTAGTATTAGTAGTTAGTAAATCTATTCAATATATTGCAGACATTTCTCATACATTTTCAAAAACTACACCTTAACGATTTGATCTCCACAAACTTTATTTGAAAAATATATCACAACATGTTTCGCTAATTGTACAAATCACTTGAAAAAGCTAATGTCTTAGCGAAACATGTTGTGATATATTTTTCAAATAAAGTTTGTGGAGATCAAATCGTTAAGGTGTAGTTTTTGAAATTACTATGGATCTTCATCAAGTAACGGCCGAATCAATCAGAAAATTTCTCATACATTCATAATTTTTTCTCAGAAAATGAACGCTAATGAATGCAAAATCAATCAAGAGAGCCATTATATTCAATATGCCTCTGGAGTTGATCTAAATAATCCGCCATAGTTACTTTTATGATGACTTGCTTATTGTCATATAAGTATTTCAAACTTTCGTTCACACCCTTTCATCAGCTTATACTCCATTCATACTCTGGTCAGACATTTTTTGCTGCATAAGTATTACAGGAAAAACATTCTCAGGAAGTGTATTCCACATAAAAGAGTTCTTGAACAGTGACGTTCGAAATGTGCTGGGTTGAACGATGAGCAGCTCTTGGTGGAATCAAATGTGCCAAGTCACTAGAACACCTCCCGTGAAAGTATCTATAGAAGAAAGACAAATCTCCAACCTCTTTTCGATATTCCAGGCTATCAAGGTTGCACGTGATGTTCGCGTCTCCAATCAGGCGGATGGCTTTTTTCTGCCATGATAACTCACCCGAAGTTATCACCCGAAGACGATTGTGGATACTAACAAGCGAAACGTCGTGACGTAACTTGGTTTGGAATCTTTTAATTTTTATTTTTATTTTTCATTTTTCAATAATATTTTTCAATTTTCAGCTTTCATTAATATTCCAATTTTTTATTTCCTGGTTATAGCTTGTATGCTACTTCCTTGTAATTTCAGTTTTTTGTTTTTAATAAAAATTGTTATTTTCGGTTAATCTTTTATTTTTTTTGCAGGGATTTCAAATCTATTTATATTATATTAGACAATGGAAGTCCGAACTGATGAAATGAGATTATAATTATAAAATTTTCACAAACTTATTTTATTTGTGTCAGATTTAGGTATCTGATGAGTTACGGTTTTATCGAGACATGATGTCACACTTGAGAGTATTTCTATACAAACAACGTATGAATTGTGGAACATGTAACATATATTTACTATTATTTAAAAGATCTCACCACACTCAAGGACAGATGGTTAATATCACCATAAGGCTATCTTCCTTCATGCAATCTTCGTTCAAATACATACATGAAAAGTGAAGAACAAGAAATAATACACAAAATTACTCCAAAAATAATACGTCTGGCGCCGAAATATTTCCAAGCGATATCTGAGGTAAACCGAAAAAAAACCTGTCTGGGAGTTGCAGACGTATAATTGGTTGAATTATATAGTATTGACGATACAAAATTTTAAATTAGCAATTTATTGTTTGTCGCTGTCTTGTCATAACAGGAACTACAAAAAACGCATCACAAGGATACGTATATTATGTAGAATTTAAGAAGATTCAATCAGTTAACTATGTTTAAATTTTCGCGATGAAAAAATTGTGAAAAGTCATGTTGTTTTTGAAAAGTTATCTAGAGAATGAAATGATTAGCAAAGTGTTTTTCTTTTATTCTGTTTTCAAAAAACTATACCTATACACTCACAATTGTTTTTTTATTATTATTGGAGAATTGAAAAAAATACTTTCAACTTTCCAGTGGTGTGGAAAATATTGAAATAAAAATGCCATTTCTGAATGTATGCACAAAGTTTTCAAAATTTTGAAT